CCGAGATCCCCGCGCCGCCGAGATCCCCTCGCCCCGCACCCCGCGCGAGCACCACGCCTTGATCCAGAACCGGCGTAGCCTATCTACTAATGACCTAATAAAAAACTTTTTTCTAAACCGTCAATTGACTCAACTGGATCGCTTCAACCTCCTTAATTGTATCAAACTTACTTGTAAAGAAATATAAACGGTTGCCACTGTGTTTTAAACGCTGACGCAGAACGTATTGAGCTCGTCAAGAATTGTGACGATTGGCAATGAGACTTCCTTCCTTCCAACCCTACTGAAAAAAATCACGTCACGAAATCACGTCATGAAATTACATCACGAAATCACGTAACAAAATTACGTAATTAATGACATAAATTAATCACGTAACGGATTGTTCCAAATCGGTACGTGATTTTAAAAATCACGTAATTTAGAAAATTACGTAACGTTTGAAAATCATGTAATTTTAAAAAATCATGATTTAATGTATAGAAAAATGGTCCATTAATTACATTATTTTTTTTAAGGATTATAATGTATTAAAATTTAAAGATTCTTGATATTACATTCTCTTTCATTACATTCTTAAAAAAAGATATTGCATTTAATAGGACCTATAATTTTTATATTAATGTAAGTTCTAAAACGTTTTGTTTTAATTTATAATCTTTTTATTATTACAATTATGTTGCATTTAAGTATAGTAATCAAATTTTAAAGAGCTGAATGATAGAAATAGAAAAAAGGAAAATATATATTATTTTGATTTAGATGTTTATTAATCTCGCAAGTAAAAAACGATTAATAAAAATACAGATTTGGCACTGCGCATATATACATCATATTATCTATATTCATAAAAACGCAAATTTTTTCAATGCTGTTGGTGTCTTTTGCTACTAAATTATCTGAAATATTTACAACTTTTTTTAGCGGTAATGAATTGTTATTAAAAATATCTTCCGTATTTACTAAATGACAGATGGTGTACTCTTTCCTTGTTGGTGCATCGATAATAAAGTCTACAATGTGAATAAAAATCCCTTCTGTTGTTAAAGCATACGAATTATCTGATCGAATTATATTTCTTTTTGATGATGTGTACAAACACCGTTCTTTTACAATTTTCTGATATGTTCGACTTTCATCAGATAATTCAAGTTCTTCTATCCACATTAAGCTAGTTTTGTAGTGTGGTCCAAAGTATCTTGCGTGCCATAATTTACATGTTTGTTTTGCGGTTTTTTTGTCCAGATAAGAAATAAAACTATTTACATTTGAAAACGCTTTTAAAGCAACATGTTTCTTTAAAATCAATTCGCTTTGACTCATTGCTATCGATCTACAAATTTGATGTACAACGCCCTTAGCACCGTGGATTTTTCGAACTAGTTGACCATTCCCGTTTTCAAAACAATAGCCAGAATGAGCCCAAAGTGGGCCCCAATCTGCTACACTTTGTGCTAAATGTAGTAGTTGATGAACGTTGTATGTCATAGCAGCTTTCGAATAATAGTGTTCGGTGTAACAAACAAATTTTGTCAATAATGTATGAGCATAATTGACCTCGTCACGTGTAATGCTTTTCTTTAGTAAAATATAGAATGCTTCTACTAAAAGTGACCAATGCTTTACCCATATTTCTAAATGTGGAAAACATAATAATATCGGTAAACTGTAGTACAGAATCCAATTCTCCCACTCTCTTGCCTTCCAATATTTTTTATCTCGTATAGAGCGAGATAAACGAGCAATTTGATTGGGAGCTTTTATTGTTAATAACACGTTGTCAATTTTATTAATATCATTATTGGATAAAGAATATGGCAAGTTGTTCGATTCGATCCAATACCTTAAAAATTGTTCCGCTATTCCCAAACAAAGACAGTGCATACTGTCTGGTACAAAACCGGATATAATATTAAAACCGTGCAAATTAATTAAACACGAAGGTCTTTTTACACCATAAACGGGATTTCGAGATGTAAGACTCTGTCGCATGTGTTCGATTGTTTCAATTTCAGTTCTTTTAGGTGGTATTTCATTTAATAAAGTATATTTTACACTTCCACCTCTCTTGTGGAAAACATAATATCCTGGGTGTAAACACCAATTACATCCGAAATAGCCATTATACTGAACCATACCCTGCATTGGCGCACGGGCAACAGAGTCTACGCAGCAACATATGGTGAATACTTTAATAGTACGTACTTCATTTGCAATAGTACACCGTACACCATCATTTGACAATTTGTTCATGTGAACAATGTACGGCTTCAGAAAAATATTCATATTTGGTTTATCTTTACCGAACCATATGCCGCATACTACAGGTCTACTAGTTCTTACATCCAAGGGTAATTCATTTATAATCATTTGAATCGGCCAAATAGAAAATCTAGAGCTTTCGAAAATCGGCGCTCCATCACTGTTCATCGTAGTCGTAGCAAAATTAAGTTTATCATTTGTTGACAATAAGTCAACAAATTCTTTGTATAATACTCCATCCGTAATATCATCAAATTTTTCATGATTTCGCACCCTTTCGCGAATTACATAATCATAATATTTCTGATTGTCTTGAATTAAATTTGCAATTTCGTTATTTACATTCATAATAGCAAAAAAGTCATTATATGTTGTATCTTTTAATTCAATTACAGTATCGCATGCTTGACATTCAACGCGGCGATCTTTGCGATCAAACTTTGCTACATATTTTTTGCAACATGGACAAACTGCATGATATTCTATGACCGTTTCTGGATTGAACATTTGGTCAACAAGATAACGCGTACTAGGTAACAAAGAAAAATTAAAAAAACAGTTTAACATTTTAAAAAGATCAGCTAATGCACTTTGTGATAAACAATACGTGATTCCATACTTTAAAACTGCAAGTAAAATTTCAGCTTTACTCACGACTACTTGAGCATTTATAGTCTCATTATTCTCATCTTTTTGCGTCATTTCTATTAATCTACTAAAACCAATATAATTATTTTCACTATTGACATCTTCAGAGCTGACTTCTTCACAAACATCATCGTCATCGTTATCGTTATCATCTTCGTCGCTAAATTGAAATAATTCTTCATGTGCATCGTAGACCCATGAATCCTGCAGATATAAATTTTTTAACGTTTTTTATTATAGAATTTTAAGAAATAGTTATAAAAATAATTGTACTTTTCAAAAGTCTATTGGGAAAATATCTAATTAATTTCAACATTTACATATCTTTGTATAATATATAAAAGAATTGAGTAAAGTAAACGTAGTAACAGTGAAAGAAAACAAATTAATTTTTCGAAGACAAAAAGTTATTTTGAATTCTAAAACTTACAGGCAAATTACATACATATTATGAACCATATAAAATTAAAAAATATATTCTTACCTGAAAATTTTCATCCTCAGAGTCTGATAAGCCGTACAGTTGATTTCTATCATTTCTTGAAATCTGGGATGCATCTGCTGTCTACAAGAAACAAATTTTATAATTTCAAAGTGTACTAAGTTAGTCTTTAATATATACAGATACAAAGTTTTTAATGTAGATCCCTATATTTAGGATTAAAAAACTTATAATTAAGAAAAAACCAATACAATATTATATTTAAAATAATAATGAAGAACTTTTTGTGCATTCTTTCTATTTCCTCTCTCTCTTTCAATCAAATACTGATAATGTCTGCCTCTGCATATACTACTTAAAAAATATATTTATCCGTAAACAAATGAATACTAAGTGTGTTTTTTATAAGAATTTATAATATTTTTTTAGTATTAAAGTATAATTTATAATAATTTTTTAGTATTAAAATTATATACTAACCTGTTCTAATATTGACGATGATTGTTGATTATTGTTTTGCTCAATAAATGTATTTTCGTGTGTTACTGAAGATTCATGACAATTATGTTGTATGAGATCTATATGCTGGTCTTGTACTGAATGCAATGACAAGTCAGAACTAAGCTCATTGTTTCTAATACCTGCTGGCAACGCTTCATTGGAGGATGATGAGCGAATACTGTTATGTTGACTCGTACTATCAGAATCCGTGTTGTTGCTATCACTAGATGATTGGCAATTACAGTATTCCTAAATAAAGTAATAAAATAATATTAATATGATACAAAATGAAATGAACATGTTTTGAATAGGCCATTTTAACTTTTTTTAAAGTCAGTCTCTTTTTATAATCTCAATTTAGAGCATACAATAAAAGAAAAAAAAGAAGTAAAAAATGTTTAGAGCTTGATTTGCGCATATATGAAAAGTATCACGTAATAATAAGTAAGATTCTAACAAAATTTTATAAGTTAAAAATCTGTTGTATTTAATGTATTTTTCTAAAATACCTTTATTCGTACACTTATAAATTTTAATACATAATTTTTTAAATTTATAAGATTAATTAAATTTGTAATATATATAAACATTACTTGTAAAATAAATAAATTTGAACATAAATTCATAATTTATATATATTTTTATCCATATAACTTTATAATACTTACTCGCCATTGAGCATCTTCGACACTGTCATCACTGCTTTGAACACTTAATTCGTATTCTGTATGATTTCTCCTGTATTGGCTCGTTCTTGGGACTTTTTGAAATTTATCTTCAAGATAATTGTGATACCTCCCCATTATATATATATATATTATTAATGTCGTTTCAACAACAAGAGAAGCACAAACAAAATACCCAGTAAACGGTAAGAATTGGGTAACGAAGAGAATTACGAGTGATATTCGTTAATATTGTAATAAACACGTTCGCTAGAGCGAACACGTCTGCACACTCTATGACTCCTGCACACAGGACGCGGCAGCGCGGCACCGCGGTAACCAATCACCATCTGCCTTTCCGTACTACTTTCAAAAGTAGAACGGAAAGGCAAGACGGTAATTGGTTACCGCGGTGCCGCGTTGCCGCAATGCCGCGCTGCCGCGTCCTGTGTGCAGGAGCCATTAAGGCGCCGTCTCCCCGCTACGCAGCCGTCCCGCCGGCGCGGCGCCGCGGCGCGCCTCTCCTCCTGACGCTTCATGCGCGTGCGGCCACCAGAGCATGCGCATGTCGCTGTTCGCTGTCGCTAGTATGCTAGGTATCGCCTATATCGCCTCGCATCTCGCATTAGTCGCATTGTGTGTGTGTCTGGGGCTTAACTGCTTAACTGTTCCCACTTCATACATTTGTCCGCTCTATTACGTACGTTTTGTTTCTCGTTTCCGCCTGGAAAAGCGCAGCCGAGCACGTGTTCTATCTCGTTTAATCGAAAATAATCAATCAGTTTGTCGCTGGCTATATTATATTGATCCCAGTGAAGGAATCGGGTGCCGTTACAAAAAAATAAAAAGAAGTTGGATTGCAGAAGCGCACATGAGTTAGTAAGTAATAAATATTTTGTGTAAAATTTGTTTTTGTTTACGTGAATAATAGGGAGAGAATTTGATTTTCATTTAGCAGTGTTATTAAAAAAATGACTACAGAGCAGGCTAAAGTATAAATTCTCTTTGTACGTTGTATTTTTTTGGTTTACATTAAAATGGTGTTCTCAAAATAGATGTTATCATTTATCTTTGTAAAATATCGAACATATTCTCGATATAATCAGGCCGCGAAGCTGACTGCTACGTGTTTGCTGTTAGTCTCGTGGCACGGATTTGATCCGCACGAGGTCGATCACGCCGTCCCGCGTGATCGACGTACGGCATAAATCGTGCTCCGCGGAATCTCCGGTCGAGCACGAAACAATCTCTATTCAAAGTAGTTTATATGATTATTATTTTTATATACATTGCAGAAAGCATTTAACTTTTTGTTTTTAATTATAATTTACAAATTTTAACATTATTAATCATAATATAAATATGTGCAAATACTACATTATTTGAATTATTTTCTTATCACAGTTAAAAAATATTTTTCAAGTTTTGAAAATGTAATAAACATAATTTTTTAAAGCGACCATGGATTCACAAATTAAGTTTGCTAGTGTGCGTTATTTCGACGATGAAAGCAAGAAAATCCATATTGTCCCTATTGAAAGAATAAAGAATTTTGTGGTTCTGAATAAGTATGAGGACCCATATTTTGTAAAAAGGCTGAACACTGTAACCATGGAAGAAAGTTTGATCGCAGCTCAAATTATGGAAGTAGGAAGTGTACAAAATTCATTGTCATAGTCAATTTTAATTTTAAGTAAATTATAAAGTTCACACTTTTCTTTTTTCTATAAAATTTTTTGAGGTTTTCTTTTTTCTACCTTTTTTTAACCAATTGTTTTTTTTTTTGTTTATTTTGTTTATTGTACTTTATTCTAGTTTTTAGCATGCTATTATCTATTTGTAGTGTTAAGAAGATTTTATCATTGGCCTAGTCAAAATAATGTCAAAACTGTCGTTTATTACTTTCTCTGTTCTACCTGAGTATTGTATATGTAATATATTTTGTCTTTATTTTGCTCTTATTCAATATAATTTAATTTTAAATTACCATCATGGTATGGGATGTTATGCAGTCATATTGCCATCATTTTGATCACTTATTTTAACATCATACTCCTCATCAATTTGATGTCACTTTGACATCATTTTGACTAAGTTGTTTTCACTGACAATGTGTTATTTTATTATCCATTCTAATCTTTTACTAAATATACCTAGTAAGTGTTTCATGTTTTCGGTAAATGACGTAATTTTATTAAGTTTTTACTAGTATTTTATTCTTTACAGCTAATGAAGAGGACTTGAAGCATAACAAACGACGCTATGTCTTTAAAAAACTGGGTTACAGTGATGCCGTACAAATAATACTAGATAAAGAAAATCCAGAGCCTAATAAAACTCAAAAAGAAACGGTAATATTTCAATCATGTTATTGTAATAATGTTTTACAAATATTTAATTGCTGATTTTAATTATAACTATTATAATTGTTATACATTTATTTTTTATTTTATTTATATAACACTTACACAATTGATAATATCCAAATGGTTAATTTTAATAGTAAATAAATAAATTCAAAAATAATCTTTTACCAGTGATAAAATAATATAAAACTTTTTATTAGTCGGCCTGACTGGCATTAATTTAATAATTATAACGTTTCGACCTCTATTTTGGGTCCTTATCAAGTTAATGATAGATCAATGTGCGTCGAACATTATAAAATTACGAGTCATAGTTAAACATTAGCGGGGCGGTAAAACAGAATGTAAACTTCGTGAGGCATGACCGTCACGTGTAGCGCCCGTCGAACAGTCGGGCGCTATACGTGACGGTCATGCCTTACGAAGTTTACATTTTGTTTTACCGCCCCGCTAATGTTTAACTATGACTCGTAATTAAATGTAAGAAATAAAATAATTGCAACTATAACTTACTCTTTTTATCAACATTTAAAAAAAATTTAATTTGAAATTTGAATGTGTAACATTACATGCAAAAACAATAAAAATAATAAGTTATAGTTGAAATTCTCGTAATATAAGTAATACATTTTATTTCTTACAATAGATTTTTATGTAAATTTAAGAAGATTAAAGAATTAATTATATGGAAGCTACTTTTTACACCACTACATTTAAATAAGACTTTTTATACAGATTCTATAAATTGGCCAATTGGTAATTACAGATCTATATGAAACAAGATCCTATTAAGTAAATTTTATTTAACTAATGTTGCTCGACATTTTAAGCCGATTTTACTTAATAGTTCAGCAACATCAGCTAAAGAATTTTCTCCGTGTAAAAATATAAGTTTTATTTTAAATAAATATAAACTGAAATTAATTATAATGTGAACGTTTATATGCAATCTTCAAAAATAACATTTTTTCTGTTTTAAATATAAATATTATTTATTTTTTTAAATGTTTATTTTTTAATGGAAAACTTATTATAAAACTAGTTTTATGATGCTCTAAGATTTTTAAAAATCATGAATTTTCAAGAAATTCAATAATGAGAGGACATCGGAAGAGGATGATGAAAATATAATCAATGAGAAATTGAAAACTACTAATCGTGACGCTAAAATATTTAAAAGAAACCAAAACAAATTTTCTAAAATTCCATCTGCTGTAGATAAAACATCTAAAATGGATGATGTCGATATAATTAAGAATAAATTGGAAATTTTAAATCGTGATAGTATAGCATTTGAAAAAACCTGTGAAAAACTGTTTGAAATTCCAATTGCTGTAGAACAGGAAATTTAGTTTTTAAAAGATGAAAACAATAAACTACAATTAGAAAACAACAACTTAAAAACTGATATATATTCCTTCTTAAAGAGGAACTTCATACGTTGAAAACAAAGAAACAATTATTTCCTACAGGTAAAAAACATTATTTTTGAAACAAAATTGTTCTTTATTTACTTAATTTTTATCAATATATGACAATGTATTTTTACAGAACTAAAGCGTGCGGCATCACCAGCTATAACCAGTACACCCAAAAAAATGAGAAGTAAAACGACTGTTAATGCTCCTTTACAAGATACT